ACAAATGGACTTTGGACTCCCATCCAACAATGTGAGATGCACTCTCACCCTGAACTCTTGGGGGAGGGTATAGGCCCTGCCCTGGATGAAATGAAAGACTATGGACACCCCTATGGAGGGCCTCACCCTCTTTGGGGAAATGAGGGGATATTGAGGGGTTGGTGGGAGGGCATGGGAGGAGGGGAGGGAAACGGAGAGGGACCTGGAATTGACATGTGAAGCAATATTGTTTCTAATTTAAATTAAAAATAATATATATATAAGAAAAAATGCCTCAGATATTAGTGTTACACACTTTTGGGAGCACCTATAAAGGCAATTCTAAACAGGAATTAACAAGAGGAAAAGGATAAGACCTACCATGAATTTGGGGGTGGGGGTGGGGAATGCCACCCATCCCATAGCTAGGCTGAATAGAAAGGCAAAAAGGATAAAGGTCAATGTTGGCATTCCTTTTTCACTACTCCTTAGTCCACTGAGACATGAGAAAGCAGCCTCAATCTCCTAGTTCCTCAGCTTCAAACTGCAAGCTGCTCCCTTCCATTCCCCACCGCAATGGACCATATTTCCTTAAACCATGATCCTAAATCAAATGTTCCTCCCTCCCATTGCTGCTTCTCAGGTACTGGGTCACAGACATGAGAAAAGTAACTAATATACTGTGCCCTCAATCCCCTGGAGACCCTAAACAGAAAATCTAGCTCTCTGCACCTAAAATGATGCCCTATAAAAACAATGACATAAGCAATTTGTGTTGCATTAATTCAACACATTTGTAACAATTTGTTGTGTAGCAGTCTAAAACTATTACAGCTGGAAAGAAAACACTAAACAGCAGAGTGCCATATGAGCAGTCAGTGTTGTCCAACGTGTAGGGGACATCCCTATCACCCTAACCCATGTCAGGGAAAGATTTTGTCACTAACAAGGTCAGCCCATACATGAGGGTTAATATGCAATACCAAGCTCGATCTTCTAAGACCATTTACCGTGGTGCTATATCTACCTGACTCACTGGAAGGACAAGGCTGACTCACTCACCCCAAGAGTTACCAAGTTTGGGTTCTCTCAGGCTGAATCATGCTAACCCAGAAAGCACTGTGTAATGTCCAGACGTAAATATAACATTGCTTCTCAGTGTCACAGTGGGACCGCTGACCTACAGACCTGCTTCCCAATCCATGTTCCAGGGACCATCAGGAAACTAGGAAGGGTGTTTTAGACCTGAAGAGCAGAGCTCTGTGACTGCTTAAAGAAAAGAATTGCCAAAGCATGTAATTGGTGAGGGACTTGACTTCCAAGTTGAACCCTGGCTTTGCCACTTGCTAACTGTGACTTTTTAGCCCTTCTGTACCCGTCTGTGGAGTGGCACAACAGTTGTAAAGATTTATATAAGTCCTTAATGCTTCACACCTACCTTTTAGTGAGCCCTGGGAAATAGGAACTAGTTAGCTAATTGATGCTGACCTGATCTTATTTGGAAACCGAAACACTAGGCTTTAATCATATTGTAAAGCCCCACTCCTGTGCCCAGAATAGACAGCTGAGCACAATTTGTTTACTTGTTCCTGAACCCTTAGTGTCTGTTTATTAAGCAAGCACTCCAGATTTGTACACAGAGTACCAGACCACGTCAGCCAAAGCCAGAATTTAAAAGCCATCATTTTCTAGTCCTTTTCTTTTGCCTTCTTTATTCATCATAATATAAATTATGCTAGCCATGTACACCTACTGAACCAAAACAAGAAAAATATTGCAAAGCAACAATGCACTAGTCTACCGAATATATTAGGCTGTGATGTGAAAACAGATAAAATGCTTACTAGCTTTAAAAGATGGTATAAGGAAGCTAAACTTACATCCACCATTCCTGTAAGTAGGTTTTCAGTGCTGGCATAAAACACAAGACCAAAACAACTTGGGAAGAAATGGGTTTGTTTTGCTTACCACTTCCTCATCACTGTTCATTACCGAAGGAAGTCAGGGTAGGAACTCAAACAGAGCAGGAACCTGGAGGACCGAGTGATGCAGAGACTGTGGAGGGGCGCTGCTTACAGGCTTGCTCAGTCAGTTTTCTTATAGAACTCAGGACCACCAGCCCCAGGGTTGCACCACCAACAGTGGCCTGGGCCCTCCCATGTCAGTCATCGCTAAAGACAATGCCCTACAGGCTTGGCTGCAGTCCAATCCTATGGAAGCATTTTCTTAATTGAGGCTCTTCTCTCCTTTCAGATGACTTTAGCTTATGTCAAGTTGACATCAAACTAACCAAGACAGTGAGAGTGTTTAAGTGTCACTTATACTGCTTTTATGACATAATTAGTTGCCTTACAACAGGTTAACAAAGCATTCAAAGGTGTACACCACTAGTAAACACAATCATATCCATACTCATAAAAGTGGATCTTTTAATGGAGTCTTCTTTCTGAATGTTACTGAGTGAAATGCTTTAACACTCCCCCTAAATAGCAACAAGGGAAGTGGTGGTATTATTTTTGTTAAGATGACCATTTGTTACATGGATTTTCAAACTGCTTAATTGACTGTAATACTTAAGAAGAAAAATGTTTTTCTAATAATTCTGTCACAGTTTTGAATTACCATAGAAAGGGTTTGTCTGAGACATTTTAAGTGAAACATCAGGCTATTGTTTGACTGTGTGTGTGTGTGTGTGTATGTGTGTGTGTGTGTGTGTGCCTGTGTGTGTGTGCCTGTGTGCATATGTGTGCATGCATGCGTGTGTATGCAGTGTTCACGTGTATACATTTCATTTGCATGAACATGTGCATTTGTACCCTTATGTGTAGATGCTATGGGTTGACACTAAGTACTTCCTCAATTGCTCTTTTTTTCCTTTGAGACAGGGTCTCTCCTGGATTTGCAGCTTGTCATTCTGTGTAGATTGCCTTTGCCTTTGCCAGCACTGGGTTTGAAAGTGTATTCTGCCCTGGGTTCTGGGGATCATCACTGGAGCTTGGGTTGTCATGCTTGCATTTACTGAGCCAATTGCCTGGGCCCTAAACTAATGTTTTCCAAAAGAAAACACTGGCAAAATGCTCACAGCTCCTGCCCCTTGGCAAAAAACTCTTTGCCTAGAATGTGAGAGTTAGGAAACAGTATCTATTGTCAGAATATGCCTCTCATTAACTTTTGCCTCCTTAGTGTCTAGAATAATGCCTACAACAGACACAGGCACTCACTAAATAATTCCCAAATAAACAAACTCAGTGAATGAATGGAATTGAATGAATTAGCAGGATGCAGGGATACTTATTTTCATTAGCTGTCTACAAATTCTAAGTAGTGAAAGTAAAGTCAGGTTACGAAGTCAACAAACAGGGAGGGGAGCGGTTTTATTCAATCTAGAGCTATGGGCTATAGCACCAGGCAAAGAAACCATTGTCAGTAGAATCTATCACCACAAAGTTTTCATTCCCAAATGGAATTTTCCAGAGCCTCTGTGGTAAACCATTTTGTGACTGGTCATTTTTTGAGTAGCAAGTCTTTTGCTTGAAGAAATATGTGGCAACAGCGCCATCTTCTGGAAGAATTAGTTGGGAATGTTAAAATTAAATTAAGAATCACAGAAAAATTATATTGGGTATATTTTAGGAGAATCTTCTAGGCCATATGTAATATATGTCGTTTCATACATAATGATTTTCCTTAAGCGATTGGAATATTTTCTTTATAACGATATAATGAAACCCTAAATTCATCTCTCAGTGAGATAACTACAACCATCCGTACTAAACTGTATCACAGGTTTCCTGTAAATCTGAAACTAAAAAGCAGTTAAAATCCGTTAACTTGCTGTCTGAGGAACACTGTGCAATAGAAGTTCCTGTGTGTCTGTATAATATGACACAATGGTCACTTTACCTGCGTAGGTTATAATAAACACATTTGATTTGTGGCTGATGACACTGAGCTGAAGTTTCCATTTTACACATATTTAATTAATTCTGCTTTTTAAATTCATCATCTATATGCACTTCAGGGTTTCTCAACCTAAACATCACTTGCATGTTGACCTGTATAATGCTTTGTTGTGGGTGAGGGGCTATTCTGTGAGCAAGTGATGGTTAGGAGAAACCTGGCCTCTGTCCAGCTGTCTGTCAAATCATGAACAACTGAGATTACCCAGTAGTACAAATCTCCTTAGCAAAGACAACTAAAAATGCTTGCAGCCATTGTCAATATCCCAAGTTGGAGGACGGGGCTTGAAAATTCACCCATGACTGAAAGCACTAAACAGCAGCTACTATATTACACAGCAGGATTCTAGAATGTGTTTAATGAGCATATGGGATTTGGGATGGAATAAAACTTGCTTCTACAGCTAATACAGTCACAACTGTGTCATGAAGTGAGAAAATGTTAATACATAGATACGAACAAAGGAACATGGCCCTTCTTTGTCTCCCTTTCCATGCCATGGAGATGGAGCCAGGGCCATAATAACAGAAGATTCTGCCTTAGCTGAAATTGTCCAGGTTAACAGCAGACAATGTACATTTACGTCTGTCTCCTCTGTCCTTGATTTAGGTAATTGGATATATTGATCAGTCTGAGCTTCAGTGTATTACCTGGCAAAGGTAATACAGTAAATAGTACCCACCCGGGCAGTTTGTGTGAAGGCTCAATTAAAATCCCTTAGAGGAGCGGAGGGGGCATGGAGTGGGGTGGGGGGTTGGGAGGATTGGCGAGCTGAGGGGGGGAGAGTAACATGTGTAAAAAGATAAATAAAGGGAAAAACAGAAGGCTCAATTAGATAATGCATAACATCTTCCTTGCTTCATACTTGCCATATAGGACATGTTCAAAACCAATAGCTATTTTTTAGACAGTCATATATAAGAGCTGTCTTCACACTCTCTAAACAATAACACAAGGGATCCAGTGAGTTCCCATTAATAATAGTGATCTAACTGAAAAAAAATGTAAAAGAAAACACTATAGTCAAGAATTCAAACATTATCAACAAGTTTATTTGACACTCCAGGGGTAAAAGTTTCAACAATCTTTTTCGGTTGTTTGTGGATCCACTCTCTAAACAATTAAATGTGTAAAAGGAAGCGCTTCAGGCCTTCCGGGAGGAAGAGTCCAGAAATTTTATGATGTTGCCGAACACCAAAGCACTTCCTTATTCTCAGACGACATAACTGCATCAAAGACTGGGGACCTGGAGAAAGAGCATGGGACAAGTCACACATTGGCTTTGCTCACCCCTACAAGACTGCCTTTTAAATCATGAAATATATAATAATATTCTTATAAAGAAATAGTGCATGGTTAAGACTATGTTCCCTATGTAGTTACATCAATTCCCCCTTCTCTGTCCTCCCTCCAAACATTCCTGTATTGCTCTCCTTGTTCTTTTTGAAATTGTTATGTGCATATATGAAGGGGCATTTTGAGACCATGTTCTGTCTTCCTGTATTTAAGTGAAGTAAAATCTTTCAATGTTTTAAGATTTATTTTTATGTTTCTCTATATGAATGTATATACATGATAGTATGGGTACATGCATGATGATAGATATGGAGGCCAGAAGAGGACATAGGATCATCTGCAGCTGGAATTTCAGGTGATTGCAAGCTGCCAGATGTGGGTGCTGGGAACAGAACCCCAGTCCTTTGCAATAGCAGGACACACTCTTAACTGCTCAGCCATCTCCATCCCTCACTGGATTTTAATTTACAGCAGAGTGAAAGAAATTTAAAAGTTAACCTCGCTAACAGAGACTAAAGGAAACTAACTTGGAAATTAAATAGCTATACAAAAATTTGAATCATAAAAAATAAAATTCTTGCTTCAGGGTGCTGTCCTTTACCTTAAAAATTAAATCATATTTTTAGATGCAAGTGCATCCATTATATAATTTAACAACTTAAAAAAGGATATTCAAATATACTAAGCTCCAAATGAATCATAAGTTCATGTTATTAAGTTGTGTTTATTTATCTATTCTGTATTCTAAACTACCCCATAGCTTCAGCTCATGGGTGAAAGTTCAACTGACATAAACCTGCACAGGGAACCCAAGAGTTTAAATTTTAGGATTATGGTTAGGGGAAAAGAAAAGGGAAGTATTTTCTCCCTGGAGTCAGGAGCACAGTACTGTCAATGACTCCAACTGTCAGTGGTACTAAGGTATAGAAGCCCTATTGTAGAATAAAAGGGAAGGTATAATCACTCCTCCCCACCCCCACTCTTTGCACCAAATTAAAATGGAAATTATTTTTGTTATCTTTTCAAAGAAAACTATATACCGTTAATAATTCCATGAAACAGTAGCCTTCAATGAACAATGCAATTTAGATTTGGCTGGAATTGAGGTAATTTAAACTACATAATGCTGTGTCCCATCCCAGAGACACTACTTGACTTAACATTGGTTTGTGCCTGTGCATCTAGATTCTGTTAAAGCCATGGGCTCCAGGTCATTTTATTGTGAAGTCAGACTTGAGACTACAATTGAAATGATACTATGGCCCCTACTTTCCTGTAGCCTCACCACAACCTACAGGTAAGCTTAGTTACAGGTCTCTCAGGTGATGGAACACAAGAAGTGAAAACAGTCAAAAATAAATGTAAGCCTTAGCTGGAGTCCTGACAGCACTTTCTAGAAGGTACAGCTGGAAGCAGGGGAACCTTTCAGACTGTGTTCAAGGCACAGACCAACAAATTCCTCAGTGTATACTTAGGGAGAAACATATATGTATGAGTGCTGGAGGGTGTGACTAATATGTGGTAGATGTACTATCAGGGGCAACTGTGGGAAGTCTGTAGAAAGTTCAATGAAGAAGAAAGCTTCAGAGCAAGCTTCTTGGCCTGAGAGAGTCATCTTACATTTTCAGTCTGTTCCATGAAAAAGAGTTTTAGACTAAGCCAAGCACTTGAAGAAGGGATAATATTCCTGAAATCCTTTCCCTTAGCTTCCAAAGGAAGTGAGATCCCCACCTTCCCTAACTTCCATGCCAAGCCAACTCAGAGCACAGTTAAGTTCAGCTTATATTCCCCAGTCCCCACACCCTGGAAGGACATCAATTTCATTAAGTTGCCTCTCTAAGCACAGAATGTCAGGTGAGCTGAATCAGCAAGGAGACCCAGAGAAAGAAAAGAAACTGGTATGTTGCATCTGCAACTCTAACTGTTTGTGCTTGCCTGGGACTGTCACCTTTAGGATTCTGGTAGGCTATCGGCATGCTAAGAAGTGGCCTCACCAGAATCCTAAAGGTGATTCATGAAGGCAAAGCAGAGGTGATTTTTCTTTGGTGGCAAATTATACTTCGTTGGTTTGTGGGTCCTTGGGATGGAACCTAGAGTCTTTCACTGTAGCAAGCACGTGCTTCTCCGCCAAGCTGCACCCCTAAACCAGTAGGATCATAGGCCTACTGTCACCATGCCAAGTGTGAAATAAAGAATTTAAGGATAACCTAGGTCTCTATGAATAGCTTTGGTGGATAGAGTAGAAAGAAAACACAAAGGTGGGCATGGTGGTGCACACCTTCAATCCCAACAGTAAGGCAAAGGCAAGGATATCTCTGTGAGTTCAAGTCTAGCCTGATCTACATAGCAAGTTCCAGGACAGCCAGGGCTAAACAGATAGACCCTGTCTCAAAAAAGATTTTAAAAGGAAAATATCAGTGAAAACAATCTGAAAATCTTATAATTCATCCCACTGTGTGACTTCAGAGGAACCTGAGCCACAGCTGCATCTGGGTATCACATTCCCAATAAAAATATTAAAATATTTTATAACTATGTAAGTATAAAGATGAATATAATTCTGGTTAGGTTTTATTCATCTTTCTTCTTGTTTTAATAAGAATTACTTACAATATTTCTGCGGGCCCTGAGGGACTATAAGAGAAAGTGGCTCTGAATGTATACATAGAACATTTTAAAACAAGAAATTTTCAAAATGCAGGCAGACATACCCAGTGATTATTCAACTGTTTAACGGAAAGAGGCCTCTAGTTGCCCAGTGAATATCCAACTGTTTAACGGAAAGAGGCCTCTAGTTGATTCCTTCTGCCTATATCAGTCTTCCTTAGCCTGCCCTGAAGTGCTGGATGGGCAATTGCCCTGGGGAACTGGGAGTAGGAGGAAGTCCTTATCATTCTGCCCAACATCAGCCCTACTTCTCAGCCTGTGGGTAGAAAATAGCCAGCTTATTTGACATCGGAGCCCTTCAGGTATGGAGAACTGCTTCAAAGTCCCATAGTCCAAAAACAGCACAATCAACACTCTGGTAAGAAAACAGGTCCTGAATTGCCTCCAAGAACAACTGACAATGCAATCAGGTATCCTCACAACCTGAACGGGCTCTTTGCACCAAGAAATGCCCCTTCTCATGTGCGCACCACTGTTTAGTTATTTGGCAGAGCAGTGTGAGATCCTATTTATGGAGGAGTGTACTTAACTTGCAAGAGTAAATGTATCTCGATTGGTGTGAATCATTGAACAAACACCTTAAACTCTCAGTTAGCTGCATCTTAACCTCAGCAATCAATTACTCCCGGGTATGGCTGATGCATGGAGCAGTTAGACCTCTTGGGGAATCAGACAATGCCTAGAAGGCTTCTGCTGAATTATTCTAAAGCAGTGGTTCTCATTCTGTGGACCACGAACCCTTTAGGGGTAAAATGACCCTTTCAAGGAGTCACCTAAGATAATCAGAAAACACAGATATTTACATTACAATTCATAACAGTAGCAAAATTACAGTTATGAAGTAGTGGCAACATAATAATTTTATGGTTGGGGTCACAACAACATGAGGAACCATTTTAAAGGGTTAAAGCTTTAGGAAGTTTGAGAAACACTACTTACTGTAAAGCATGCTTCAGTTAACTTAAATATCAAATACTTTTAAACAGTAGCTTATCTCCTTAAAAACTGGCCTAACAGCCTGACTCCAACATATTAAACAACAAAAGGCTATTTACTTCATAAGCAGTGTTGTGCCCTGTGGAATTATCTCAGGTTCCCCCTGCATGGTGATGGCAGAGAGCAATCTTTTCCAGGATTGGAAATCAGAACTTAGGAAATACCTGCCTCCTGCTAAAGGCCAAAGAAGTCTTATGGGTTAGGGCTTAGATTTGGGCAAAAGAGAGGCACCTTCTCTCTCCAAGAAGAACTCGGTCAGAGGATTCTCCGGAGGCACCAAGTCCACGGGACGTTTTCCTTCAGCGTTCTTAGCATGAGTATTTGCTCCGAAGTTCATTAGCAGGTACGCAAGCTCCCCATAGCACAACCTGGCTGCTACATGAAGAGGAGATTCAAAGCCTTTTCCTTTATTCACACATGCTCCTAGATGGTCACAAGAACAAAACATGAAGTATCAAAAGTGTTTAAAATGGGGAATCCACGATGAACATGATTCTGTGATATTGGGAACTGGTCTGACTTTATATCATTTACTATAGTAAGAGGGAAACTGGGCACTGAATATACAGCTCTGTTCGTAAAGTGCTTGCCATGCAAGCATGAGAATCTGTGTTCAATCCCCAGCACCCAGAGAAAACCATGAGTGTGATAGCACATGCTTGTGATGGTGGGAACAGGCAGACCCTTGAAGCCAGCTGAGCTTAATCAGTGGGTCCCAGGTCCCAGTGAGAGCCCGGGCTCTGAACATCAAGCTGGATGGCTCCTGAGGAACCACACTTAAGGTTGACCTCTGGCCTCCAGGTGTGCATACACACATACACACACACACAAACACACACACACTCACAAACACACACCCCTCCCCACATGAATAGGCACACTCTTACACAAATATAATAAAAAGAAAATGTGATTTGACAATGTCACTGAAAGTACAATATCAGCTGTGTAGCATATGGAGGTACAAACTTGACACAGGGTACTCTTCATGGACATAATACAATCAAGAAACATCTTGGTAGCATGAACGCTGCATGTTCATTATTAATGCAGTGTAAGTATTAGCACAGACCAAGAATGAGGTTGGTTGGGGGAAACCCTGTGTTCATCATGAAGCCAGGTTCATACACTGAGCAGTCAACACTGCATTTAAAGCCATGGGACTTGAGATTGTGTAAGCTGGATCATTAAACACAACCAATTAAGGGAGGCATTTTTTCCTAAGCTGGAATGATGGATCCTGTTATCACAGGAAGGGTGGGCAAGTTCTCTTTAGGAGGAAGTTGGATTTCTGGGACTATCCCCACCCAACTCTACTTACCCTCTAAATAAAACCCCACCCCAGCTCAGAGCCTGCTTCTCACTGAGGTATATGCAGGTTCAGACTTTCACCTGAGCTGATGTCTCTCCACAAAAACCGATGCCCAAGCAACAAGCGTTAATTGAATTGTTTTTAAATAATATTATTTTTACTTTGTGAGAGATGCCAAACATGGCCCTGTCCTGGATAACAGCTTTAAATGTCTCAAGCTTAAAATCTACCTAAAAGTAGTAATAGGAAGGAGTGAGAGTGGCAAAGAAAAATGGTGAATAAGAAAAGAACTAGGGAACACAAGAGCAGTCAGTGTGGGGAAATGACTCCTGGAGTCTTAAAGGAGGAACAGAATTCAGAAAACTAAAGAGTTGGAATAGTGTTCCCATTGTTGAGAAGGGACAACCGTAGGGAGATATGGAAATGACAGAACATCTCCTCATGGAAAGGAAAATGTTTATGGCAGACTAATTTCCTAATCAGAATGAAATGTGTAAGATAATCCCAAATAGGAAGAGTCAGCTAAAACCCAGTAACTTTGCAAGCTTTGCAGAGGTGAATCACGATTGTCCAGCTAGAGAGAGGCAAAGGAAAGGATGTAACAGCTAGTGATAAATGAGGACCACCCTGGAATAAAGCATGGGTGGTACAAATCATCACCTTCTTCTTCATTGCCATGATAGTTATAAGTGAGAAAACAGAAAGGTGAATGGTGTGAAACAACTCCTCATGAAGACACTGTGTTTTATATTTGCCAAGCCCTTTGCTCACACTCTTCCTTTTAGTGTGACAGCAGGATATTCAAGATTCATTTAATGTACTTTCCATTTTCATGCCTTATTTTGTTTTGCTGTTTTGCCTTACCTAATTCCAGAAGCTTCTTTGCACAGGCTAGCTGATGGTTTTCGCAAGCCATATAGAGAGGAGTACCCAGGTTGTTGATGCAATAGTCAATATTGGCACCATAAGTTGCAAGGGACTCGATGCATTTCACGTGGCCTTCAGTCCCAAAAAGAAGAAAAGGGTTACCGCACAAATTCCCTAAACAACAGTCCCTATTTTTTGTGTGTGTTTAAATGTATCCCCAACGTATCCAGCAATCAAAAGCCATATTCTTTTACTTAGAATGGAAAATAATTTTAAACACTGACATCAGAGTGAATGTCTGTTCCAAAGTCCATTAGGTCAGCTCCCCCACTGGACATCCTAGCCATTCTGTGAAGAGGAGAATCAGGCTTTTGCCTTGGTTCATAAAAAAAAGAGGGTCGGGCCGGGCGTTGGTGGCGCACGCCTTTAATCCCAGCACTCGGGAGGCAGAGGCAGGCGGATCTCTGTGAGTTCGAGGCCAGCCTGGTCTACAAAGTGAGTTCCAGGACAGCCTCCAAAGCTACAGAGAAATCCTGTCTCGAAAAAAAAAAAGAGGGTCAGCCAAAGAGCAGGCTCCAACCATTAACATGCACAGCTGTGGAAGGAACAACACCTGCATTCACTAGCCATGGAAAGCAACCAGCATCCACTCACCTTTATCAATTGTTTGTGTGCTTGTAAGAGCCATGAAACAACAACACTAAAAATGGTCCTGAAGAAAGACATGGAATGTATCAAAGGACAGGGAAGGAAGGAAGCTTACAGCCTACAAAGGCTGGAGGGATAGGCCATAATAATCACAGGCAAATCTTAAACACTGCCAAATCCCATGGGAGCAAGGTCCAATCTGGCAAACAAAGTTTGTTCAAAATAGATTCACTCTTCCTTAAACACAGCCCTTTGGGGTCTCATGTTGAACGATTTTAGTTGTATGTATCCAGTAAACATGTTGAGTTAATATGGCTCTTCATAAAGAAAGAGCAATGCTTTCCCTGTTAATTACAACATCGGTTGTTCTGGTTGAATACAAAACCATTCTAGAAAGGCATTGGGGAGACAGAAAGCCCTCCAGTAAAGTATAGACATGCAGGTGATGCTAAACACCAGAGAAAAGCAAAACTTCAAACTGTACTTTATGGAAAGATTTACCCTCTTGTGACAACTGTTAACTTGACAGAATCTAGAATCAGCTACGGTAAGCATCCAGGAACACTTGTGAGGAATTATCTAGATTAAGGTTGGCCTATGAGAATTTCTCTGAGGATCTAGCTTGATTACTGTTAATTAGTTTTGAGACTCATCTTAACAGTAGGTGGGGCCATTCCCTGGATAGGAGAAATCAAGCTAAGCATTGTATATGCATCCATCATTCTTCACTTCCTGGTTGGAGATGCCATGTTACCAGCTGCTTCAGGCTCCCACTGTCTTGAATTCCCCACCATGACAGGCTGTGGTTAGAACTGTGAACTAAAGTCAGTCCTTTCTCCCTTAAGTTGCTTCCATCAGAGGTAAGAATATTTTAGCTTGGCAATGGGGGAAAAAACCTAAGATCATCCCTGAACTGTAGAAAGTCTTACAGAGTTCCTCAAGCTGAAAATGTTTCACTTGTCAAACTTAGATGACCCTAAGCCACTATTGACACCCTAAAATTAAAATGAGGGTTTGCTTTGCAAAGCACACAACAAATCCTGGTAAGGGACCCTTATCCACTGCAGGTGGGAATTTAAACTAAGATACCCACAATGAAAATCATTATGGAGGTCTCCCAGAAAAACTGCAATGAAATTACCAGACAACTTGGCTGTACCAACATTCCTGGGTATATACTAAAGGAACCTGAGACAATGTACCACAGTGGTCAGTGAAATGGAATCAGCCCAGGTCTCCATTAACAGCTGAATGGTTAAAGAAAACATGGTACATGCATAATGCAGAGCTTTGTTCTGCCATAAAGAATGATATTATATTGTTCACATGAAAATGAATGTAATTGGAGAACACACACACACACACACACACACACACACCATAAAAGTAGAAGGGGGTCTACTTGGGAAGAGTAAGATAGGCAAGAGAAAGAAATGGGGTTGAATATGATTGAGGTACATGATAGCCTTGAGTGAAAATATTAGTATGAAACCCATTGCTTCATACAATTAAATATGAACTAACACAAAAACTGAATTCTATGGGATCAACTATTCCACAAAGATCCATAATATAGTCTAGTATGTACCATCCTTGTTAGGAAAATATATTTCTGAAAGGGTAATTCTCAAACTTTACTGTGGATTAGAACACCCTGTGGATATTTGGATTAAACAGGGCTAGAGCAGAGTCCCAGAATCTGCCTTTACAAGCCCGATCATATGGATGCTCCTACTACCAGGTTCCCTTTGAAAACTATTGCTCTAAAATGTCCCTCTTCTTTCCCATTTCAGTATTAAGAACATCCTCGAAGGACTGGGTTAAAAACCTTCAAATTCCAGATGGATTTACCTCTCTTTGCAGCCTCATGGATGGGAGAGGCCAGAGCACACTCAGGGTGGGGCGCGGCTCCATACTCCAGAAGCAGAGTCACACATTCATGGTTGCCACCAAGGCAGGCATTAAACAAGGGAGTTCTCCAGTCCACGGCCATGCTGTTCACCTGTGAAGAAAACCCAACTCCAGGATGAAGACAGTGACTGATGCGGACTGAATTCAAGGTTAACTCTCCCACTTTCAAAGGTTTTTTTTTTAACTTCCCTGAGCTTTAAAGTTCATCTCATAATAAATGAGGGTCGCCAAACTGTCATGAATAAAAAGCAAATGAAGTATAAAATACAAGGCAGTAATAACGTTACTGAAGGTTCCATCTCCTCCCTGCCTTCCTTGGGATCATGAACTTTAAAACTAGTAGTGGTAATTTCCATAGCATAGCTTACAAATTAACATTTCCATTTTAAATATGCATCCTAGACAGTAGCCAGAGTAAGCTGAAATTGATTTTCAAAAAATCCCATTTTTTACTTAAAAGTTTGATTCTCATGCAAATATGCTTAACGCATGCCAAAGATTTTATTCAATTCATTCACTAAAGAGAGGATTAGTAAGATGGTAGGGTCAGATCAAAGAAGAATTTATAAGTCAGTCAATATGCTACTTAAATATGCTTACAAATAGATACACGACTGGTTAACAAGACCATAAAATTACAGATTCTGGAGCTATTTTTTCTAATGTTAGAAATGTCATAGAAATTTACAAACTAACATCCATGTCATTACGTTTGGGCTACCAACAATAGATAGCAAGCCCAAACATACACGGACTCTTCTATCTTGTCATATACTCTAACGTGTCTGTTAAATGAAGATATTGTTGGGGAAAAACTGAATTCACTGCCACACCCTCTTCCCAAGAAAGGCCAAGATGTAGATGACATACGGGAGATGCTCACTCTGGAGTTCCCATACTGCCACAGGACCACAGAGTGACTGTTTCTTTAATGTTTCCATCCCAGTTGCCTCTTTGGCCTCCCCTTAGCCTTGACCCTGTTCTCATCATAACTCACAAGAAACCTTCTCACCCACTATTCTCCTGCCATAGAAACAGGTTGACAAAATTTGCCCAATTTTACTTCCAGGCTTTTGTGTCAGTTGTGTCTCTTGCATTCAAAGTCTTTACCTTCTTTTATTTCACCATTTGGCTGACTGGTTCTAGGTCCTTCTGTTTTAAATAAGACATTGTTTCCTGAAGAAAGATCCTTTTGATTGGTCCACTGGAAATAGATGAACACTTGTATGTGCTCCTAATAACCCCTATCAATCCTATGACTCTGTGTTTGTTTCCAAACTGGCCAGAGGCTCTTTCTATCTCACAGTGCAAATTCCTTTACAATATGACTCTGCAGCCCTTCCCATCACAAGACGGAGGCTATTTTTCCAATACTTGAATCTGGGATTGCTTCTGTGACTTACTTTGGCCAATATGATGATAACAAATGTGACACAAGAGAAAGGCCCCCCTTCCTTAGCTACCCTTGCAATCCCTGCTCTCCTGTGAGCTAATCCAGGATGAGAGATTAGAGATATTCTTATTCTGACATCCCAGCCATCCCTAGCCGAATTTCTCACCTTTTCTGCAGCATTTCATCCCCTGCCACACAGAGACATGATGGTAGAGAGCTTACAATTATGAAACAATACTTATTAATGCTGTCTGATGAGGAAAGTGCTTCAGACTACAAACATGATTTTGTGGTGGTTTGAATTAGAAATATCCCCCATAGGCCAGGTAGTGGTGATGCACACCTTTAATCCCAGCACTCAGGAGGCAGAGGCAGGGGAATCTCTAAGTTCAAGACCAGCCTAGTCTACAAAGCGAGTTCCAGGATGGCCAAGGCTACACAGAGACCCTCTCTCAGAAAAAAAAGATGAAATAGCCTCCATAGGCTCAGGTATTTGAACACTTAGTCCCTAGCTGGTGAGACTATTTGGGGTGATGCTGTGGTCTTGCTGGAGGAAGTCTGTCTCTGAACCATTGGAACCACTTCCTTTTTCTGCGTCCTGTTTGGTTTTGAAGATACATGCTCTGAGTTTCCCGCTTCTGCTGTGGTGTCTGCTACTTGCAGTCATGCCTCTCCATCATGGACTCTTATTCCGCTGGAACCATTAGCCCAAATAAATTCTTCCATCCCCGAGTTACTTCTGGCCATGGTATTTCATCACAGCAACAGGAAAGTAACTAATGTAAGTTTCTAGCTAAAATTTAAATATTTCACCTCCTGGTAAAGCACATTCACTTAGGCATAATATGCTTGAAAAGTACATTTCAAATCAGACTAATCAAAGTACTAGAAATTATTCAGAGAGAAATAGCCAGTTTTCATTTTTTCATACTGTTTGTTTCTATTATTTAAGCTTCACTTACCTGAGCTCCATGACTTAGCAAAATGTTTGCACAAGACAGATGACCTCTCAGGCAGGCCTCGTGGAGAGGTGACACATGATCAGCTGTAATGAGATTTACTGGCCAACCCTAGAAGAAGAGAAATTGGCTTAAAATGGGGGAGAAGACAACAGTACCATCAAGCTGGTTTTCAGTTATATAATTCCAGTACTATGTGAATTCTCTGAAAAGTTAAATCATATGGTCAGGTTAAAAAAAATGTCTACTAAATTATTCGCTGTAGCATAAAAACAAAAAGACAAGAAAAACAGCCCATCACAGGGTACAACTGAGAGCCTAATATAAGTAAACCACAAATGAAATGACTTTACCAGGATCTACTGAAGCCAGAAACTCAATAATTTCACTCTTAATTATATGCACTCAAGAAACAGATTACTAGGAGTCTGGGGATGTGGCTCAACTTGTAAAGTACTTGCCACTCTCCTTGATTTAACACTGGCTTCACCAAGAACTTACTGAGATGGACAAGTATGAGACAGGGTAGTGAGAGGAAGCATCCATGGACCTCTTCTTGCTTGGCTCATGTGGGTGTGACTGGGAAGCCCTCCAGTGAGTCTTGTCTCCTGGTAGTAATGTCCTGTGTAATCCGTTCCCCTATAATGATGTATTTGCTGATGCTGCCTCTTCCTCCTCCTCCTTTCTTCCTTTTCTCCTCCTTCTCCAGTCTTCCTCATCCTCCCCTCCTAGGCTCTTCCACCATTCTTCCTCTGTCCTCCTCCTCCTCTGGTCTTCCCTTTCCTCCTCCTGTCCTGTCTCTCTCCTCTCTCATCTGTGTTTCTCCCCGCTCAACTCTTCTACCCCTACTCTTCCTCCTCCCTTCCACTACCTGTCTTTCCCTTCTCCTTCTCTCTTCCTCCTCCTCCTCTTTTTGCATATGCTAAGCCACTACTCTACCACTACTCAGTGAGCTTGGATACAGATCTTCAGTTAGTCAAGCCTTATGATGACTGCAGACTTTACGTTCAGGGTACTGGCCCCAGCAAAATGTTGTGTAAACTCCTGACAAAATCTGTACTAAAGCCACATGTGTGTTGACTCATGTTGCTTACTTTGGAGCAATTTTTTTACACAGCAAGTGATGTGGGCCAAATGACACGAGCCAAAGCCCTAGGTGAACCTCCGTAGATAAAAAGTCCCAAAGCAAAGGGACAACTGTATTCCCATGCCAGGCCCCTGAAGTCTGGAAATGCAAACAAGTCTGAAAGTTTAGCTTCAGGATCCATCACCCTCTGGGGAAATGTGTATTCCAAGAGACAGTAGATCATGAGGCCAGTCCAAGCAAAGCATGAAAAGAAGTCCAGCAGCAGCTCCACAGATTCAGCCCCACACACCCATCTTAGAGCATATTGTTCTGGGAGACACGGATACAATAAAAGCACTTTTTAATCCATATATGCTAAGAGTTGTTTTTAATTGTGTGTTTTAAGTGTGTGTGTGTGTGTGTTCATGTATGGTTATGTGTGTAGGTGTGCAAATATGATGTAGACACACACATGTGTTAGGGTATATGTTTCCTACTTCATCACAATCCTGCTTATTCCCTAGAGACAGGGTATTTCACTGAACCTGGAGTTTGATTGGCAGGCTGAAAGTCCCAGTAATCCTCCTGTCTCTTCCTTCCCTGCCCTCTACAGTGCTGAGGTTGCATGTCCATGTGACCAATCAAGCTTTTCTCATGAGTTCTGGAGATCTGAACTCAGGTCCTCATATTTGCATAGCAAATGCTCTTATTCACTGAGATGTCTCCCTAGCCCTTTTTCATAGCTAATTTAATCAATGACTTAAATATGTACTATAACTTTTCTTCCTGGAATAGTATATAGTTGCCCAAAATTGTTCCAATAAATGGCCTTACTTTCCATTAGTGCTGACACATATTTTTCTACTTCTGTGGGCATTTACGAGTGGGCCAACCAGTAATCATCCTGTGCCTTTGGCTTTTACCTTCTGATCAGCAGGGTCACACACTTTGAGATATTAGGTCACTGTGTTCTTATACCCCAGTGCACAGGGGCTCAGGTCCAGAGTCTGGGAAAGGGTTCTGGGAGACTTGCCATAATATGCTTGTAAATGAGAGGCCCCAATGCCCTTGACAGTCTTTCTCCATCCCCACTCTGCTGTTTACAGGGAAGGAAGAGCCTGTAGATTCCCTCCCTCCAGAACCTAAAATCCCATCTGGACATGATGACTCCTCAAAACATAGCCCCCTGTGCCCTGACACCAGAAGAACTTAACATACTGAATTTATCACTTCCCAAATAACACCATGGACTTTACAACACGACACTCGTTATTTTACTATTGTCATTATCATTTGTTTGTTCATTTTAGTGAAAGCACCACCTCAAATCTTCTGCCAAGCCCATGGCCACACACTTTTTTGGTAGGTTGCTTGGGTTGTACAGGATTGGTGACTGGGGCCAATACAGTGTTCCGTCCCCAGTAACATCCTGTTATAACGCAAAGTGTCATGTGTCCACCTAGCTGAAGTCAACCACAGAACCTTTAGGCTGGCAAGCTTTTCTGTCCCTGGTTACCATTTTCCACTTGCTTCTGTCCACTTGGCAGAAAGGAAGCTGGTGACTGCCTGTCTCCCTCACCCTCACTCACTTACTACTACGTCACCAAGGAGATCACAGCCATTTGATGTAGCACTCCTGCACACCCCTTGTCCCCACACCTAAAGTCTGTCTGCACCTTCCACAATCTTCTTTCCCTTTGGTCCTTTCTCTGAGGAAGAAATGTATGAACTTGCCCTCATAGTCCTTGGAATTATGGGGTTCCTACTCCACCCAGAAGGCCTTCTGTCGTCTACCATCTTACATTCACCCATTCCCCAGTGCTCTCCCCTCAGACATACTTTACTTTTGCTTCCTACACCTTGCTATCCTCAAGTCCCAAAGCCTCTGCCAAGCCATCATTCAATGTCCCCCTTCCTTTCACTATCCCCTCTCATAAAAAATTGCCTATGCTCTTTGTTTTGTCTTCTACCTGATATTCCTCTCTACTGTGCAATCCTGCCCAAACTTGTCTTAATGATCTTTAAATGGAGGATACAATCCACCAGAGGGTGAAAGGCTTTAGTCAGAGATGGGGGAGAAGATGGGAAAGAGAAGGGGGGAGATGGTCAACCAAAACTAAGATTGTATACAAATGCCATAAGTGAACCAAGACTTATGCAAATGTCATCAGTAAAGGAGAATTGTATGTAAATGCCCTAAGTAAACCCGCTGCTTTGTAAGCTCCATTGAAAATAAAATAAAAATGAGTAAAGCTCACCAGTGACTTCTTTGTCAAACCCAATATGCAGTTCTCAGTCTTCAAGTCCTTCCACCTCTGATTTTGCTGTTAATTCATTTTGACCTCCAGAAACCTTTCCTCTGGCTTCTAACATACTATTCTACTTGATTTCCATCTTCAGACCATCGTTTTTTTCCTCTCTTACTGACTCTGTCCTTTCCTGTGGACCTCTCCCAGTATGAGCATTTCATCAAAGTTTTTCCTCAAATGTTTTACTTGTCTATTAGTCCTTTTCTACGTTTGCTTGCACGTGAATGCATGCAAATGTACACATACCCCTGTGCGCTTAATAATCCCTGGTATATTGTCTAATTCTATGCCATGACATAATCACCTAGAGACCCAACTAGCAATCTAAACTCAGCCTTTTCCAATCTAAGGAAAATATCCTTGTCAATCCTATTTCTCTCCGTGGCATTAAGTCCTTGCTGGCTCTCTAGAACTGAGACCTCAGGAGGTAGAATGGCAGCAACAGAACCTAACAAGCAGTGTGACTAGCAGGCAGCTACCTATCCCTAAGTTTCAACATGCTCATATGCAAAATGGTTACAATTGCACCTGTCTTCTAAGATTATTATGAATACTGGAAAACTATGGATGTAAAAGTTCAGCACTCAGCAATTGCCAGGCCAACACCCTCTGGGATTTCTTCTTCTTTCTCACTTAGCCTTCAGTCAGTTGCCAATTGCTTAATGCAAGTGATTTTGTTTCTCTCCTGATCTTTAATTAGCCTTTTAAAGATCCCAGTGGGTATCTATGCAGGCTAATTTTAAATCAACTTGAAAACAGCTAGAGCCATTTCAGAAGGGAACCTCAGCTGAAAAAAAAAATGTCCCTACCAGATTGGCCTGTGGACAAGCCTGTATTGCATTTTTCTCTTGAATTATGATTGATGTGGGAGGGACCAGTTCACTGTAGGACATGCCACCCATAGGCAGCTGGTGCTGAGTGTTCCAAAAAAGCAGGCCATGAGTAGCAGCCAGTAAGTAACCATCCTCCATGGACTATGCATCAGTTCCTGCCTCCTGGTTCCTGTCCTGACTTCCCTCACTGATAAACTGTTGCCTGGAAGTATACATTGAGACGAACCTTTTCCTCCTCAAGTTGCTTTAGGCCATGGCGTTTCATCACATCAATAGAATCCCTAGACATGCAAGAAGGATTAACAGTTTTACTCAAGTTTCTGGGGGATAAAAAATCTACTCTTCCCCACTTGCTTGTGGTGAGAACTTACTGAGATGGTTCTTAGTATTGACTCCATAGAGGAACTGTGTAGAAGCTTTCAAAAATCCTGGTATCCAGGCTATATCCCAGAGTGATGGCAACATAAAGAAAGAAGGCTGAATTCACTTAGCAGGTTGTTTATTTGGTTCATTGCCATAATACTCAGGGTTGAACCTAGGCCCTGGCATTCACTGGGACAGTGGTGTATCACTGAGCTATGTCCAAATCCCTTTTTGTCTTCTGTTTCCATTTTCATGCTTGTGTATGTTATATGTGTGAATGTTTGCATATGTGCGAGTGTACACGTAGGGCTACATGGGCATGTGGGTGTATCCACTTGTGTAAAACAAAGGTCATTGTCTGTAACTGCACTTACTCCTTATTCAATGGTAGATACTCTATCAGTTAAACCCAGAGTTTGCTGATGTGATGTGTTTTGCAAGCCAGCTTTCTCTGGGGATCTCTTGTCTCTGCTCCTGAGGCCTGAATTCCAGGTGGGCCGCATCCTCATTTGGCATTTGTATGGGTTCCAGGATCCAGTCTCCAGTCCTTATACTTGAGCTGCAAGCACTTTAACCACTGAGTAAAACCCCACCCCACCCCCAGCCCTTTTTAAGAATGTGAGATAGGGTCTGAATTGCACAGACTGGGCTTGGAACGTACTCTGTAAGTTAGGCTGGCCTTGAACTTGTGGTACTCTTGCCTCAGCTCCTGAGTATCTGCGATTAGAGGCTTGCGTCAGCAGGCCCATTGACAACGCCGTAATTTAAAAGACTACAAGCAAACAGCACCCTATGGGAATTCTAATACAAAATCTGGAGGAAATACCACCAAATTAATTACTTTCTGCTAACCTAACAAACAGTCACTGCTGGGTTTTAATGATTTTTAATTGAAATATAACAGATATATTAAACAATTCACATATCTTAGTGTCATCTCAGTGAATCAGCATACAGGTAAAGAAAGAAAACATTTAGATGCTAGCCAGATTACTGCTACCTCTGGTACCCAAAGGAATGCTTAGCTGACACTTAACGGTGGACATTCAGTTTTCTCTCATGTGTTTAACACTGACCCAGGAAGCATGTATTCTGTGCATGTTTTGCCATTTTCAGTCCACATGTTGGTCAGATTCATCAATCTACTTTCACTGTTGTATGTACATCATAGCTGAGAACATACATTCTTCCTTTGATTTGATTTATCCAAGTCGATCTTAGCAGATAAGGCAGAAACCAGGATTGGAAGAATTCCATCCGTGGCTGGTTTAGCTTGTCCTGTTATGCAACAGCCTTTTATCAAGAAAAGAAAATCCCTTGGGCAGCCAGAGGCCAAGGAAGTATGAGGGACATGTGTGTCACAGCTTAGAACTGTGCCCAGTCAAGTCAAGCTTATGTCAAATGACTCAAACATTCATTAGAAAGAAGTTATGGTTATTGTATCCTGCCACTATATTGGGATGTGTATTTGTTCCTAAGTTTTAAGGTGGACTAACAAAGGTGATATTAGAATTTTCACTTTATAAAGGCAGGGATTGATGTACAAACATGACAACTCACTTAACTGCCTTGGAAGATTTTAGATAAAGGCATGGCTCTAAGCTGATGGTCAATAAATATAAATATCAAATATAAACAAGCACCTTTCCTGTTAACAAATGATACATATGGCTGAAGAGATGGCTCACCAGTGGAGAGCACTTTCTAGCCCCTTCCAGAGGTCCCAAGTTTAATTCCCAGCATTAACACAGTGGCTCACAACTGTCTATAACACTAGTTCCAGGGGACACAGCACCCTCTTCTGTATTCCTGGGGCATTTCACACACATGGTACACAAGCATACATGCAGACAAAACACATATACACATCAAATAAGAATAAAACAGACAAAACCCAAATAGAAAAGTGATACATAAAGCATCAAAGACCATTTTTAATATGATCCAAATAGCATAAATATTTCATTTTACCTGAGTAGTCTGACATCTTTTAGTGGGAGTTATGTTAGAATGGATTTATAATAGGCTGCTGCTTCCAAAACTACCTTAACACAGTAGCTTAGGATAGTATAAATTTTTTGTTGGAAATAATATTTGTATAGACAAATTTCTTATATTAGATAGGTCCATGAAATTGAGATGTTTTCTGAATTCAGTTTTATTTTCACTGCTTTTATGTACCCTGAAATTAATAGCATTATAATCTATAGCAATTGCAGACATTTTCAGTGAATTATGTTTACTAAGGTAGTCTGACCCTGCTTAGAAATCATGGTAGCCTCAAAACCACAGCTAAAACTTTAACAAGACCATCGAAAAGTCCATATGTTATTACATCGTATTTGTTTCAATATTTTGATAGGTTTTCTCTGATTTTTACTTTACATATTTAATCCTTTAAAACTTTGCTTTGATAATGTCTCCATAAATTTTGCTGCCTAGAAAAAGAGCAAGATATATTGTCCTGGGAAAGATCCTGGGTTCCATCCCTAGCTCTACAGACACAGAGAGAGAGAGAGAGAGAGAGAGAGAGAGAGAGAGAGAGAGAGAGAGAGAGAGAGACAGAGACAGAGACAGAGACAGAGACACAGAGAGAGAGAGACAGACAGACAGACAGACAGAGAGTGCACAACTCACAAACATATAGTCTCTATTTTGGAGAATAGAACCTTCTAGAAAAGACTGTGTTAGGATGTAAATTGCTTTTAGCAGTGTCTGAGCAAAGGATTCTAATAATTCAAAAGCAACAAAAATCAGTAAGTGCAGGCAACTTACACCTAAGAAAAAGAAAACTGAAATCCAACTGTTGAGTCACAGGCAACTGGGTATTTGACCAAACTGAAAATATCACTGAAATTATAAGACTACATATATGAAATGGCATTTTCAAGCATTGATTTTACATTACGGGCATTTAACGCCTTGTCCTCCTGGAATTTAGAGCTGCCTAATTCTTGACATGGGGGCTGTCCTATGCACTGTAGGACACCTAGCACCATCCTTGTTTATTACCCACTAACTGCATTAGCACCACTCTAGGATTATGACCAATGGTGGCTCTAGATATTATCCTCCTGAGAGACAAAGTTGCTGTAGTTGAAAATCCCTATTTCACAAGATAAATTTGCTCATATGTTGCAAGTCTGTGTGTGTTTCTGTGTAAGCACATATGTGTGTGTTGTGTGCACATGGAGGCTACAGGTAGAAAACAACTATCTTTCACTTTTGCTCATCACCTTATCTTTTGATACAGGTCTCCTCTTGAAGCCAGTACTCATCAACTGGATAGACTACAGCTCTGGGTATCTGGTTGTCTCTGTCCTCTGAGAGCTACTATTACAGACATGTGCCACTGAATCCAGTTTATTTTTTGTTATTTTTATGTGGGTTCTGGGGATTCCTACTTGGGTCTTCATGCTTGTGCAATGGACACTACTGACTGAACCATCTTCCCCTTATAAATATAAGAACAAGTTTTATTAACTGAAAAGGACATAAAATATCACTTTCTAGTAATCCTTTGGACAAGTATTTAGCATTGTTCCCACTGTGTGGTGAGGTTTTCACAAAACACTAACATTATGACAGCCTACTAAGAAGGAAATTGTTATTGCAATGAAATTCACTTCATTTTGCTGATTGTACTTAAGAGGAAATGTCTGTCTCTTTTGTCAGTCTGAGACAGCAATGGGATATACTGTTATTATTTTTTAGAGCTACCTGGTTGATAAGGTTCCTCAGGGTCAGCAGGCGTCCATGGCTTGCAGCATCGTGAAGAGGTGACCAGTCGGAAACAATATCTGCATGGAAAGGGAGGAATGGGTTACATCATGCTAATGTGCGTAGACAAGCACCCAAACTAAGGACCAAAGAGACAGGCTGGGAAAGCATGTTGAGTGAAGTAAGCCAAGCACAGAAAATCAGTTCAACATGGTCTAGTTCTTAGGCAGAAAATGGAGAGGAGACCAGTGGTCATCAGATGCTGGGGGAATAGGAAAAGAGGAGATACAGGAAAGACTGATTAAGTGAATACTAAGTCGTTGTTTTAGAGAGGAACCAGACCCGGTGCTCCAGTGCTCCTCCATAAGGTGATTTTAAATAGCAACTGCCTGATACAGATTTCAAAAAGCTACAAAATGATGTTTTCAACATTAAAAAAAACAATCAGTGTTTGAGGAGACAGATATCTATAACATGATTTCAACACGGAACAAGCCATTATACAGTACCTCTTAACCGCATACAATTTGGTTTTATGCATCCTTTGAAAAACAAATCCGATTTAAATTAATATTTTAAAGAGGCAAATTGAAATGACAGGTAGATGACTGAACTTCCATTTTCATACTGGTTTCAAAGGCAAATGGTTCATTTAGTTACGTGAGAGTTTTGTTAATTATGAGCATTAGACGAGTTCAGCTGTAGTTGCCAGTCTCACTTCCTGCACGAAACCCAAACTTTGGCATCTCAGCAAACAGTAGCATGCACTAATAGTAGCAATCATATAATTACATACACCATTAGGCTTGGAATCTAATCTAAGCAGAACTGTGTCTATTTGCAGGTTACCGTCTGTTCCAGTATTAAACACAAATCAGAATTCAGTCTAACCTTGAAATCATGGCATTATTTGTGGCCCTCCCCTCTAAGCAGGGTGCTAATGTGGTTAAAAGAGCAGTCTGAATTCAGAGCCAATTGACCTCTTCTGAACAGCAGTGCCCTGAACAAACCCTGACTCTCAGTTTAATTTTGGTAAAGGCAGAAATATACTTACCCACGGCTCAATACATATTAGCTACTATTATTATCTTGCCGTGACACTAAACAGTGCCTTGATTACACCCCATAAGCATTGCATTTAAAACAGCCAATGTAGTCTACCATCATTCAAGAGGAATACAAATTTTCAGGAAAGACGCTTGCAAACCCTATCATGTTGGATAAGCTTTCCTCTGCCCTTGTAATTAAGTGGAGATATAATTGAATGCTGCGCGGCCCAGATTTGTTTCTCATCTCAAGCTGCATCTGATTTCCAGAACAAACAGATGCAGGAAGCTACAATGGGGGAGGTTTGCCTGAGTCGGCATCGGTTCCGGCTCTGCCTTGCTTTGATGAACACACTACATGCAAGCAAGGTGCAACTGTCTAATGCACCTTGCATGGGCACTTACCGGCTGTTGAAGGCTGAAAGGGCCTGAGAGCGAGGGGAATCGCTAATGCCTTGCAGACTCAAAGGCTACAAAGAGGAAGACAAGAACACTTTGTACCTAATGCCTATTAGTTGAGGACTGCCTGCCACCTGGAGCCATCAGTGCCCTGGAAAATCTGTCCCAGTGAGCAAATTACTATCCTTGCAGATGGACTCATTAAGCATTTAGTACATGAAAGGATGCGTGTAGGCCGCCTACACGCAGCCCAACCAGTGCTTTCTTACTGGGGTCACTAAAGTCTAGAGACAAAACACCTTAAGGGAAATGGCTTTTCTATCTCCAAAATCTTGGACTCTGTACCTGGACTCACAGCATTCACAGAGGTTCCTAATTCTCTCAGAAAAGCACTTCTGCTTCTAGGGAGTTTTAAATTCAGATTCTAGATATGGAATGACTGGGTTCTGAATTAGAATAAAAAGTGCAGGTAATCCCATCTTTTCAGTGCTGATAATGGAGGACACCATTCACAGAAAATCTTCAGCAAGAAAAGCTGAATTTTGAGGAAGGTTTTGAAAATCAGTTTTTAATACATGTGAAACTGGACACCTGTGGCTCACTGAGTGTGACATAATTAGCTTACTTTTTCCTTCTAATCACTCAGCTATTAAGAAATACAGTTGTCAAAATTCTTCATATTTTTAAAGCTGTCTAAAATTGTTGTATCTGACAGCCTAAACAGTCATTAAACTTACCCTTGAAAAAAGGAGTGTCTCTATCAAGCCTGTGGTACATTGGGATAGGTGCCATTTCATTTTATTATGCTTTCTGAAACAATTTCTAAGCTTTCCATTATCTCAGGAGAGATTTAAAGTGTGCTAATTGCTGCATTCTGAAAAGAGTTATTGAGGAAGCTCCAAGAACACTAATAAATGTGGGGCAGTAGCCTAAACCCATCCATGTTAGGAAACATTTTACAAGGTCAAAAGTGGGAGAGAGGGTTGCTCTAAGGAGACTGGAGTATCCAGGATGTGACATAGGCAGATTTGGTAGAATTGGGGAAGAATACTGATGAGGAGATGGTGGAGCAAGCATGAGACTTGTTGGGCAAAATTGTCCTGTCTACTCCATCCATTAACCAGCCCCTTCTTTCCTCTCCTACCTCCTCTTCCCCTTGCTGTACCCTCCTCCCTTCTGCTCTCCAAAATTTCACATAATCTCCTCTTCTGCTTACATGGACAGATCACCCTCAGAGAACCCTCTGCCAAATTGTCCCAGTATCTTAAAGTACCTATTCTTGGCGGCTTTCTGCTTAAATGTGAAAATTCTCTGCTAATATGGTGGACTCAATTTTTGTAAAGAAAGAATTATGTACATAGGTATGAGCTTCCAGGCAAACAAACAAGCTTAAACTAACTTGTGCCGGAGAAGTGGCTCAGCCACCTGATGATCTGAGTTCAATCCCTGGGGTACACACGGTGGACGGAGAGAACCTATGCCTACAAATTGTCCTCTGGCCTCCACAGGCACATACTCACACACATAAAAAAGGAATAAATGTGAAAAAATGTTTTAAACGTAAGGATAGATACGAATAAATGGTTGATTGGTGGGATTAAGGATGTTAATTTACCCTTCAGTGTATTTGTGAAGTGTCTACAAGTAGTGTGGATTAGTTTCCTAGAATGCTATAACAAACTACCTCAAAGTAGGTGGCTTAAAACAACTGAAATGAGTTTTCTTGCAGTTGTCGAGGCTAGAAGTCTAAGAGAGGTCTGAAAGCTTCACCAAGGCCATGCCCTTTTCAAAGTCTCCAGGAAGGAAACATTCCTCACCTCCTTTAGCTTCTGACACTGGAAATCCATCCTTGGCTTTCCTTGGTTCATAGATCCCTTGCTCTGATATCTGCCTCTGCCTTACAGCATTCTCTCTGAATGTTCCCTCTCCTTCTCTTAGTGATAATGCCAATCTTCTGGGATTAAGGATCCAACCCATGCCAGTAAGGCTCCATTTTAGTGATTATACCTGCAGCCACTCAATTGCCCAATAGTAGTCTCTTTAAGTGCAAAGGCTATTTAGGATTTCAGAATATCTTTTGGGAGGTACAATTCAATTACAAAGTACTTTCAGGGGAGGAATAGTATTCTTTCACTGTCCCTTGGACAGCATTAAACAACTCTCTATGAAGAATTGGCTTTCCATCTTCCCATCCTTTCCTCCCTTCCTCTAGAGAAGAGAGCAGAGAAAAGAATGTACCATACCCAGGCCTATGCTTCCCTCTGACTTGTACTTGTGCCAGAGGGTACCTTCAACTGAAATGAGTGTCTTGGAGCCAACTTTGGAACCAACATTCTGAATGTTCCACATTCCAACTTCACCAAGGGCAAGGCCTCAGAAGGGTAAACAAATGTAACCAGCTACTGCTGAGGGTATTTTTAATCCCTGGTGCAAAGCAGGGAGAAAAAATAAAGTCTTCTTGGGAAGAGGAAAAAACCTAGGAGGGCTACATGGGAACAGTGGTTCTGTTGGGTGTGGAAGGTGGGAAGGTATTTGTCATTCTGGATCAGAGAAAGAGGATGTATGCAGGCAGGTGCCCAAGTATCCAGGCATCTATCCTGTGATTCTAGTGTCTTTGAAAACTGCTATCCTGTCAGGCCCCATGGAATAGTAACATCAGAAAACCCTTTCTACTTTTCTGTACAGCTTACTGGTTCCACATCTTTGCTGTCCCCAGGTTCCAGTTCTTAGCCATTGGAAAATTTCTCCTTTCACTAAGTTTCAACCACAAGCCCTCTGGAGAACATTCTGAGGCTTCTCACACGCAACCTGTATTCGTCTCCAATCTTAGCCCCATATCATCAGGATATGTGGGTCTGGCAATATTATTAATACTTTTATGTCCAAAATAGAACTCTGGTGAGCTAGGAAGACATTCAGTTTATTTAAAATCTTTCCACATAAGCATGAGGACATGAGTTCAGATCCACAGTATCCACATAAATAATCAGCTATGGCAATGCATCTGTAATCCCAGTGCGAGGCAATGGTTGTGAAGAGGATCCCTGGAGCTCTCTAGCCAGCTATACTTACTTAATCAGGATGCTCCAATTTCAGCAAGAGTCCCTGCCTCAAAAAATGTAGGTGGCAAGAGATTAATGCCAACACATGATATTGACCTCTGACCTTCATGTGCACACACTTGGACATATAATAGAGCTAGAAGGGAGAGAATTCTGCATCCTCTCTTCCTTATTCTACTCTTCAGCCAGCACCCCTTCCAACTTCCCTCTTATCTACCTCTGTTTAACCTAATGTGAGGTTGAAAGCTTCACAATTTAGGATGCTTTCTCTCAGATTGCCACAATATTGAATCAAGCAGTACAATCTCATTTTTCTTTCCTTTAGAATTAAAACCAGTTCTCCATCATTTCTGAAGTATGACCTATATGTCAGCTGTCTGCTTGGATTTGTGTGCTGGTTCTTAAGGTGTGGTCCCTGACAATCCCTGACCACACCACTTAGGACCTGGTTGGCAATGAAGATACCCAAGCTTCACTTCAGTCCTGTCACTTCTTCAGAAGTAGCTTCACCTCCCTGTTAACAACTCCTAGGTGATGCTGAGGCATAGGAGAACAAGTGGATTAGTTCAGCATTTCTGTGTGTCACCATAATCTACCCTAACTGGGAGTACTATATAAATTTACTCAATAGCCTTCATTATTGCCAGTGCTCTGCTCCAGAGCCATCAATGATGTCCAGTTTCCAACTTACAAAGCCTAACCCCTTCATAGCTTTGAAAGATTTATCAGCTAGTGGTGGTGGAGATGCCTCAGTGAATAAAGTGCCTGATAAGGATATGAGTTCAGATGATGCTCACCATCCATGTAAAAAGCCAGGCATGGGAGCATACACATTTATCCCCCATGCTAGAGGAACAAAAAAAAGCACATCCTGGGGACCCACTGGCCATCGAGTTTTGCTGAAACATAATACTCCAGGTTAAGTGAGAAACACACCCTGTCTCAAAAAACAAGGAAGAGAGCAGTAGATAAAAATACCCAATGTTGATTTCTGGCCTCCATCTTTACACTCAAGTATACAGTGCATGCGCTCACTTCCATGTGCGCGCACACACACGTGCATGCACGCACAAGCTTCATCATCCAGTACTGCCTCTCCAAATTGACTAAACTGACTCCGAGATACTCTCCATTCTAGTTAGAACAAGTTTTCCACTTCCTAGGCAGCATAGCCTCCAGGAGACAGTGGCTTGTTCCTCTCTCCACATACAAGCAAAAATAAAAACGGAAGCCTTTGCTGTAAAGTGACTGCTGAGAACATGCCTGAATTCTTTGTCATTTCCAACAGTGGTTGGATTGCTTTAAAAAATACTCATCAAACTCTATTTTGAAAATGAATCTCAATGCCACTCTTACTTCCTAGTATTCCTAAGGTGTGTTCAATACATACCGATAAATTAAGCTCTGCCTTTGTATACGGAAGCCCTGCTTATAATTGAGGACCCTGCATAGTTTGCAAGGAAAACTGGGTAAATAGGGGGGTAGAATGTGCAAGCCTGTCTCCTCAATCAGAGATGAAAGGCATTTTGTATTGTCTACCTCCTATAGTTTTCCATGTACATACCTGTACAGAAAGAAATCATTAAGTCCTAGGGGACTTTAGAACTCCTGTTCGTCCTTCCAAAAGACAAGTGTTATGGGCAGCCTACCAAGTGTATTGAATGTAATACTGTCTCCTTGAATGCTTAGGCTCAGAATTCCTTCATCTGGAACCTGCTGAATGTTTACAGGAGAGTTGCAGTGAGTGAATGCATGACACTCTACATTAGCCAATGTGTCACCCAACAGCTGCAATTCATGCCTGTAGGAAACCTTTGTAGAGTATTAAAAATATTTCTAAAATCAATCAACCAGTCAACATCCTTGACAAGCTCAGCTTCACCACATATGAAATACTTTAGAGAAAGTTCTTATAAAACCCAAAGTTCTTACAAGACAAGCATGTGCACACACTCACACACCTATAATCTCAGCACCTCAGAGGTTGAGACAGGAAGATAATGAGTTTAAGGCCAACCTGGACTACACAGGAGACAAAACATTGTTATTAATAAATAACTCCTAAACCTCCTATTTAATAAGTAATATATTTGACCCACAAAAGAATGATTCTTTGAAGCAAAAGCTTTCACCTTTAGAAAATGCCCTGTGATAATTAAAATTTATTTCATTTTATGACTCTACAGATAAAGGTGTATTTTTAAATAACCACATCAAGGATTTAGACAAGTATGCCTATGGACAGATTTCTGTCCAGTAGCTACTCTATGGACAACCCACAGAAAGACCAGCTGACATAGTTCAGCTCTCCTCTCTCTTGAGCACACTAACCACCCTCCCCAGCACTCTGATTTCACATCGTCTATGACTCACCCCCAACCAATGGGTTTGAAAAGAGTCTAAGATGAGGACAACTTGCTAGCCTCGCAATCCTGCTCCTTCGTAGACCATCCATAGTACCCTCGTGGATCAGCAAACTATGTTCCACTTCGGTTGCTCAGGAAAACCTGAATACCATGCTCCTGGTGCCCCTGAGAAATTCCAGTTCTGTGGTTGGCTGAACTGCACACGTCCTGGTTCAGGCAGCCTGCAGCAGAGAAGAGCACAGGCAGGGTAATGTGAGTATTACCTGTGGTCAAACAGATCCTCAGACAGAAAGACAGACAGACAGACAGACACACACACACACACACACACACACACACACACACACACACACACACTCAAAACCACCACACGAACACAGACACATACACTCTACCTAGGCGTCCAAAGTCCACAGCAGACCCCCAGTCGTAACTCTGCAAAGTTGCTGATGTCACGTCCTTTCCTAAACTGAGACCAATCAGGGAGCAAGCTTTAGAGTTTATCAGCAAGGAAATTTACACTATGTAACTTTTGGAGAATGAAGGGAGTTGGGTTGCTGTGTAGGAAGGGGTTGTTAAAGCGCCTGAGAGCTGTTCGCTACTTCCGGGCATCTCAGACAAGCCCCAGCATCCAGGAGCTGGGAAAGCTGCTTTTGCAGCCGCTCCCACGAACGGCTTGCACAGGGACACGCACGTCTCAGCCTGGCCATCTGCACATGTGGTTTCAATTTTGCTGGGAGTGTCTTATGGAAAATGTGTCTGTATGTTTCAAAAATGCAAGGGGTAGAGGTGGAGAGGGAAAGAAAGAACTTGGTTTCCTCTTCGTGGGGGGAAGGATGCAAGTTCATTCTATGCCCTATTTTGCCTTTCATGTACACATTTTGATTCTACTTATAAATAACTGATGGCTGATTGCTGTTAGAAAAAATGAATCACAGAGTCAACACAGGTGTGCAAAGAGGCCCACTATCCTTCAATTGCCAGTTGGGAAGAGAGCAGCTTTTTTAAGGTACCCTCAGTTTGCTCGCATGAGGGTTTAGACTTTCAGTATAGGTGACTTTTCAATTTCCATTTTCCACCATAGTCCGGGGTGCTGGTTCCAGGCAATCACGGGTTTGAAAGGAGGCTAGTGTGCGTTTGCTGCTTTTCCTGCCTCTTGTCTATTCACTATCCATTACATTCTCCTGCACCACAAAATGACACGCCCTATGACACTTGCTCCGGAAAGACTCCCACTTTCTCTGTCTTCCAAGTTAAGGAGACTATCTTATCTGCAGAAGTCTGAGCTACTCTCAAGCACAGGCTGGCATCCAAAGGCTGTAGATTTGTTTCCATTTGAGATGTTTGGTTTCTCAATTGAAACTTTTAGTAACTAGTTTTAACCACTGCAAGCTGTTTAATTGGGTTTTTTTGTTTTGTTTTGTTTTTTGAAAGAGGATGACTATGTACTCCAGGCTGACCTTGAGCACACTATGCAGTCAAGCAAGCCTCAAACTTGTAGCAAGCCTGCCTCCACCTCCAGAGTGCTAAGTTTACAGGTGTGCATCAACACACCTTGTGGCATCCTTCATAGTTTAGTGCGTTTCTGTGAATACATACACTTACCCTTGTACATCTTTACTTCAGTATAATTTCATTATCAGACTATCCTACAAATTTTACACTTAGTCTGGCAAGCTTCCTATTGTTCCATATATTGATATAGTCATTCTCTATTCTCCACTGCATTTCACATTGTGACAAAAAATTTCATTGTGATACGTGGTCACCATACACACCTTTAGTCCCAGCACTTGGGAGACAGAGGCAGGTGAGTTCAAGGCCAGCCTGATCTGAGTTCCAGGACAGCCAGAGCTACACAGAGAAACCCTGCTTGAAACACCAAAAACTAAGCATTTTGTTGTCCCCAAAGATGCTAGAAGGATGTTGCCATTTATTGGACTGCTAGATAAATATTGGAATCTATTTCTGAACATATTGCTTTTGGGCATACCTGAAAGTTTCTCTAGAAGAGAGATTCCAGAGAATGGAAATACTAAGTCAGAGTTATGTTCTCTTGAAGCTGGAGAGAACCAGAGTTGGTTCCTAGCACCCAAATAAGGCAGCTCCTGTAGGGAAAAAAAAAGATTCGAGACCACTTCCAGGTTTGAAAACCTACCAAAACTCACCAATCTCTGAGCATGAAAACTGACGAATCACGTTGCTACAATCTACCAATCCTTGGGCTTGGCTTGAAATCTCACCAGTTTCACCAGAGAAATTTCCACTTGGAAAACTGCTCCCAAAAGAAATCCTGCATAAGCCTGCCTCCTGCTCAGTTCCGTGCTGCTTCTTGCTGGTGCAGAAGCAGCCACTCTCTTCCATCTTTTTAAATAAACGTCCTACATGACATTTGTTATGTAGTATGACTTTGTGGTATTCCTTGGCTCCCAACTGCCAAGACACCTTTCCCTCCAGACCTATAACATATGTATTGAGGAAACCCTCCCCCCTTAAAGCTGTAACACAAAACTAGCTAAAAGAGAACCAACACCCTGCTCTGGCCTCCCTTGTCACTCATGTACACATGCCTACACAGAGGCACACAAAAACATCTAAATTTAAAAACTTGAAATTTTAATGATTTACACACATGATAAATAATAAGAAATCAAAGAATCACACATATGTGCATGGATACAAGTAAATTTGGGAAACTTTGAAAAATATCAGTATATTACATGAATGTTGCATCTTTCTTTTTTGGCAATTAGATGTATGTTGTATACATGCATGTATTCATGTTTGCAGGGTAAATGTGTATATGTGTACAAATGTGTTCATGTGTGGAGGGTATTTGTGTATGTGTGTACATGAATATATGCAAGCCAGAGATTCACATCAGATATCTTCCTCAAGTGCCTTCCGTCATGTAAATATATAGATTAATATGTTATATACAGACCTCTCTCAATCTCTCTCTCTATATATAACTCTCTGTCCAAAAGGCACACACACACTAACACACACGGACAGAGAGCATGGTCAATAAGGAGAGCTTCAATATACCTGTGGCTACATGTAGAGACCCTGTATATAATAATAATAAATGTAGTAAAGATAATAAAGATGAATGTGGAAATGCAAAAAAAAGGATTGGTTAATCAAATGAATGATAGATTACATGAGTATCTATTTCATATATTTACTCATAGTATATACATATGTATATATATACTGAATATTAAGTTATTAAAATATTTTTCTCAGAGTTTAAGATGCGACTTTATGAAATAGTGCTTGCCTACCATAAAACAGCTATTAGTATTCATCCCTAGGACTGAATAAAAATGAAAGTTTTCTTCCCTGAAAATTATTCATTGTGCATTCATTTAGAAAGTTAACTATTATTTTAAATATTTTAATATAACTAAAGCTTACATCTAGAACTGAGTAAGGAGTTACCTCGGTCAGGGTTACTATTGCTGTGCTGAAACAGCATGACTAAAATCAAGTTGGAGAGAAAGCCGTAGGATTGGTGAGCACTTCCACATCACCGCTCACCATTGAAGAGACCTGGAGGCAGGAGCTAATGCAGAGGCCATGGAGGAGTGCTGCTTACTGGCTTCCTCCTCATGGTTTACTCACATTGCTTTCTTATAGAACTCAGGACCACTAGCCCATGGAGGGAATGCTCAGAATGCTACCACCTTATCAATTACCAATTAAGAATATACCATAAAGACTTGCCTACAGCCTGATGTCATGGTGGCATTCTCTCAACTGAGGCTCCCTGTCTGAAGACTCTAGTGTGTGTCAGGTTGACATAAACTAGCCAGTACAGGAAGTCAAATACTGTGTTGAACAAAGCCAACACACGCGTACTACAGGCAAGACTGAAAGTTAGAGAGGTTCTAAGGAAGTGTTATTGTCCCTGAAACATGGTTTTTTAATTATAGAGGAATAAGGGCTGGCTGTCTCAGATAACCCACTTGCTGCTCTTGTAGAAGACCTGGGGATCATTCCCCTAAGACACATGGCAGTTTGAAACCATCTTTAACTGCCGTTCCAGAGGATTCCACCTCCCTCCCCCCCCCCGCCCTCCACGAGAACCAGGCAAACACATGTTACACATACATGCAACAGGAAATCACTAATATACATACATACTTTTTGATTTTGACCATGTAATGTTTATGTCAATATTATCTCACTAATCTAAGCAGCTAACATCATGGGATATAATAATTTAAAAGGACAGTACCAATATGTTTGGAACTTGGGAAACTGTGTCCAAAAGGTTTCTGAAAGAACCAGCCATCACAACATAACTTTATGCTAGGGTCCCTACTTTCAATCACAGGAAAGAGATAAAAGACATAGAGTATTCTCTCCTATCCACTGTTTCTTTTTCCATGGCGTCAGTCACTTGGAGAAAACCATGTTGTGAAACTTTCCAACGAGAAAGCCTGAAAACAACTCACGGGTTTTCAGTTGTGTACAATTCATATCACCTTGATCAAATTTCTCTTGCTTTTTCCTGCCTAACACATGAAACATCCCTCTATCTAGTACCTGTACTATTCACTCCACTCCTCATACCCCATCCTAGTTGAAAATATAAGTTATTACCTTGGTTTTTAAATCAACTGGGACAGTACCAGAGCCACACGTCTGGTATTCAACCAACCTGGCTGAAGGAGCCCAGTGCTATGTCACAATACCCCCCAAGTTCTATTCCTTCCTGTCATCTGCTTACATAGCCATGGGTTGTACCATCTCACATCACCTCTAAGAAATAGAGGAGGGGTACAGCCCAGTAAAATATTCAGAGAGAGGACATATTAAAATCTTTTTATTGCTAGTGCATTAATTTTATTGTATGTATTCATCACACATATTGCCATGCGACACTTGTACATTTTCCTACTTTTATGCAATATATGTTAGACATGAACCTCGCCGTACCTCCCTACGGGTCTCATTTTAACCCTTTCTCACCTTGTTGGTCCCTTTGTTCCTCTGGTTTTTACTTGCATAGATAATACATAAATACATATGTATGCATACAGACATAATCTTGTTTATGTTAAATCTCAGAACCAAAAGTGACATTAAATACATACTGCATTTCTGAGACTGAATTAACTCACTTGCAGTACAAGATAGTTCCTTCAAACCACACATGGCTTCATGTCTCTTCATTCTTGGGGAAATGTTTCATTTCATAACTTAAGTTTTTTCAAGAATATGTCAAACCTCCTGAGTCCTTTTGGTATTGTGCATGTGTTCATGTGTTTAGGTCTGACTAGTTGGCGCTGAATGACCTGTCTGTGACCTGGCGCCCAGGATAGACTCATTTCCCCCACATACACTTCTCAACAAGCATTAGTTGCCTATAGTAGTGCTTCATCTAGTGGTGGGTCCTTGTGAAATTTCTCCCATCCAGACTGGAATGCCGATTGGTATTGTTATTGTGTAGATGTTGTTTCAGAAACCATAATTTTGGTGCCTCATAGGAAGAGCTTCCCGTCATGCCCACAAGACACTCTTCTAACTGCCAGTGTCCTCTGGTCCACTGGCTTTTACAGTCTTTCTATCATCACTTCCGTGTTTTCTCTTGAGCCTTATGTGTAAGGACTGTGTTGTATTTCCATCGATCAGGGCTGGGCACTCTGAACATGGACCGCATTTATTTGCCCATCCCTGTGTTGTCGGACACCTAGGTTGGTTGTATAATACTGTGGTTGTTCTATTTTAATATCATTTATTACTGTTAATCCTAGCCCTCGGTTTCTATAATAAACTTTATCATGAGTCTATAGATATAGGAAAAGCATGTGGACTGCATTCACGGCTACCCAAGTTGTAAGGCATCCACTGGGGACTTGGAACACATATCCTACCAAGAGAGGAAAGGGTGAACTATTATACTGAAAATGCATTGAAACAAATCGCTAAAATCCCAACAGAAAAAAAGCCAACAAATAAATATTCTATGCAAGGTAGATGGAAGTTTCTCTACTGCCCGGTGCCACAGCCATTGAATTCAAAATAACCACACAGAGGCTCATATTAATAAGGAACAGTGTAGCCAATGGTTCAGACAACTTACTGGCTAGCACTCTCTTAGTTGTTAAGCCATTTCTATTAATCTTGGTCTTGGCCTGCTGGAGAATGTTCGGGCGTCCTACCTTCCCAGAACTTACATGCATGCCATCTCCCTGGCTCCACCTATAACTACCTTTCTCTATCCCTGTTCAGATTTCCCACCTGACTAAATCCTGCCTGAGGGCCCATTGGAAAAAAACAGCTTTATTCATCAAGCAATAAGAGAAACATATATCCAGAGAATACAGATGGACATCCCTCATCATCTCCTCTTGGGTCTCTAAATAAAAAGATAGGTTTCAAGTTTAACATGGTAAAATTACATATAACAAGGCAGTTATCAAGCAACAACTGTAGTTTAAAATGCTTAATCGACTAACATTTGGCAAATTTAAAGAAAATATTCTATCAACTCTCCTATCCTTGTGGGTCTACAGTTTTATATGTATCTTATCAGATACCATAACTAAGGAAAACCATAACCATAACTATCTGTCTTCAACTCCATCAAAGGGCCCAGAAACAAAGTATATAAGCAGTGGGATTGACAGGGACATCTCACTGCCTGGACAGTGACTAAAGTTTCTCTGTGACGTTGTGGCATCCATCTCCATCCCATAGGCCATAGAGTGGGACAGAGTTTTTAATTAAGTAGGAAATCACAAGCTATGTTCTGTCCAGGATTGGCAAAGTTGGTCACTTGCTTTCTTCTGTAAAGCAGGAACCCGGAAGGACCATCCTGTCTCTTGGCAGTTTCAGCAGGCCCTTTCCTTTGTAAGTTGCTTGTCCAGTTTGGACAGCGTCCTTACTGTCAGCAGTTGAGGCAAGGGCAGTTCTTTGCCCAATGGCGCAGTTTTGCCACATTGAAGGCAAACTCCATAATGAGTTTCACTGATGGCCGCCTTCCTCTCTGACACACTCGGTGTGGTCATTAGCAGTTGGGTCTCATTCCCACCATTTTAAATGCCATATTCTGTAGGTCTATGAAACGTTATGAATACTACCTATCCGCTTGAAACTATATCTCTGCATATCTAGAAAACCGACCTAAAATAACTATAAGAATTGACTATGATATTTGACAGTCTATACTCTGAATTTAAATACAGACTACATTCATATGGGCCACAGTGTGACCTTTGAATCTGCATATATTAGATTCTAGTGGTTAGGGCAGAGTTACAGGTAAGTCCATTTTCTCAAATATTGATCGTTTCTTTACAAGTATATTTATTTTCACTTTTGAAATACTTTATTGAATTCCTTTTCCTTTTCCAAGTCCATTCCCTCCTCCCTCCTCTGCTCCCACTCCCCAAGCTTCCGCCCCAGCCCCAACTCCCATCTCCTCCTCAGAGGGTATAAGGCCTCCCTTAGGGAGCCTACTAAGTCTGTCCAATTGCATCCTTGAGGCAGTACCCGGGCACCTCTCCACACCCCAAAACCTGTGTCTAGGCAAGCACAAGAATGACGTCAAGACTTTGAAACTATTGGGACTTAAAACCATCAAGGGATGCTGGCAGGCTTCCTTTTAAACACCACATGGTTCTGAGGATGGTGGCACACAACTTTAATCGCCACACTCATGAAGAAGATGCTGTCGCTCTCTGTGAGTTAAAGACAGATTGGTCTAAAAAGCAAGTTTCAAAATAGCCATGGCAGCTGGGCGTTGGTGGCACACGCCTTTAATCCCAGCATTCGGGAGGCAGAGACAGGCAGATATCTGTGAGTTCCAGGCCAGCCTGGTCTACAAAGCAAGTTCCAGGACAGCCTCCAAAACAATACAGAGAAACTTTGTCTCGAAAAACCAAAAACAAACAAACAAACCAAAAAAGATAGCAGTGGCAGCGTACAGAAACCCTGTCTTAAATAATGATAATAGTAGAAATAATTATAGTGGTAAATGTGGTGATACCCATACTGGATTGGATAATCAAATAAATGATAGGTCAGAAGTGTATCAATTTCATCAATTTGTGCGTATGTATTTATATGTTCAAATATATATATATATATATACAGCATATTTATATATAAATATATATGAACCATTAGGTTATGAACATATTTTTTGTCAGTGTTTAAGCTATGGCTTACTCATACACAGTATTTAGCAGCCTTGAGCCGTTATTGTTCATCATTAGGAATGAAGAAAAATGAAAGACTTCTTCCCTGAAAATTATTCATTGTGCATACATTTAGAAAGTTAACTATTGCTTTAAATATTTTAATATAACTAAAGCTTACATCTAGAAATGAGTAAGAAGTTACCTTGGTCAGGGTTACTATTGCTGTGCTGAAACAGCATGACTAAAATCAAGTTGGAGAGAAAGCCGTAGGATTGGTTAGCACTTCCACATCACTGCTCACCATTGAAGAGACCTGGAGGCAGGAGCTAATGCAGAGGCCATGGAGGAGTGCTGCTTACTGGCTTCCTCCTCATGGTTTACTCACATTGCTTTCTTATAGAACTCAGGACCACTAGCCCATGGAGGGAATGCTCAGAATGCTACCACCTTATCAAATACCAATTAAGAAAATACCATAAAGACTTGCCTACAACCTGATGTCATGGTGGCATTCTCTCAACTGAGGCTCCCTGTCTGAAGACTCTAGCGTGTGTCAGGTTGACATAAAACTAGCCAGTACAGGAAGTCAAATACTGTGTTGAACAAAGCCAGCACACACGTACTACAGACAAGACTGAAAGTTAGAGAGGTTCTAAGGAAGTGTTATTGTCCCTGAAACATGGTTTTTTAATTATAGAGGAATAAGGGCTGGCTGTCTCAGATAACACACTTGCTGCTCTTGTAGAAGACCTGGGGATCGTTCCCCTAAGACACATGGCAGTTTGAAACCATCTTTAACTGCCGTTCCAGAGGATTCCACCTCCCTCCCCCCGCCCTCCACGAGAACCAGGCAAACACATGTTACACATACATGCAACAGGAAAACACTAATATACATACATACTTTTTGATTTTGACCATGTAATGTTTATGTCAATATTATCTCACTAATCTAAGCAGCTAACATCATGGGATATAATAATTTAAAAGGACAGTACCAATATGTTTGGAACTTGGGAAACTGTGTCCAAAAGGTTTCTGAAAGAACCAGCCATCACAACATAACTTTATGCTAGGGTCCCTACTTTCAATCACAGGAAAGAGATAAAAGACATAGAGTATTCTCTCCTATCCACTGTTTCTTTTTCCATGGCGTCAGTCACTTGGAGAAAACCATGTTGTGAAACTTTCCAACGAGAAAGCCTGAAAACAACTCACGGGTTTTCAGTTGTGTACAATTCATATCACCTTGATCAAATTTCTCTTGCTTTTTCCTGCCTAACACATGAAACATCCCTCTATCTAGTACCTGTACTATTCACTCCACTCCTCATACCCCATCCTAGTTGAAAATATAAGTTATTACCTTGGTTTTTAAATCAACTGGGACAGTACCAGAGCCACACGTCTGGTATTCAACCAACCTGGCTGAAGGAGCCCAGTGCTATGTCACAATACCCCCAAGTTCTATTCCTTCCTGTCATCTGCTTACATAGCCATGGGTTGTACCATCTCACATCACCTCTAAGAAAT